CAATCCCCCACGGTGCCCAGCCACCCATGCCCCCCTCCCCCTCTGCCCACAGCCCTCTGCATGCCCACTGCGCCATCTTGAGGGCTGTCTGGCAGGGCAGGCGCAGCACCTGTGTGGTGGGGTGAGAACCATGGGCCCAGGCTCAGGTCTGAGGCCCACCCGCCCATCCGCCCATGGGAACCACTCACACTCCCAATGCCCGCGTCTTCCATCAGGTCGGCCATCTCTGCATCCTCACCTGGAACCAGAGGGGAGGCCCGTGAGCACTCAGGACTCCAGAGTCCACCTTCTGTCTCCTCCCGGCCACCAGGGAGAGGGGGCACTGGCTCCAGCCCAGAACGCTGTCCTCCCCAGACTGTGTCCTTCTGGGAGGAGACAGACCCTGCCTCATTCTCCCTCCCATCCCAGCCTGCAGGAACGATGACCTCTCAAGGCAGGGGCTGGGCAGGGGCTCTGGGGGAACGAGGCCTGGGGCTGAAGTGCTGGGGAGAGGCTACGAAGGAAGAGGGCCGAGCTGGATTCTCAAAACAGGGAGGGATTCGGAAGCAGAGAGAGCGAGGTGGCAGCCTCAGGAACACTGCACCACGGGGTCAGGAGGCGGGAAAGACAGGGTGAGGGGAGGAGAGCGTGGTGGCGCACTCCTGTAATCCCAGTACTTTGAGAGGTGGAGCTGAGAGGGTTGCCTGAGCCCCGGGGTTCCAGACCAGCCTGGACAACTTGGTGAGACCTCATCTTGACAAGAAATCAAAAAATTAGCTAGGCGTGGTAGTGCACGCCTGTAGTTCCAGCTACTTGGAAGGCTGAGGCAGAAGGATCGCCAGAGCCCAGCAGGTCGAGGCTGTGGTGGCTGTGAGCGAGCCACATAAATACATACATACATTATATATATATATATATAAAATGAGAGAGAAACAGAGGCGTGACCAGGTAAGGAACACAGCAATGGATACACTGACACCAAGCATGTCTGCTGTCCACATTGCGCCATTTTGTCTTCATAACCCACAAAGGGGCTGCCGCTGCTACATTATGTCCACTGTGGAGCAGGGACTTGGGGGCTCAGAGAGGCTAAGCGTCCAGGGTCACATGGCCGTGAGCTGGGTGCAGGGGGCAGAGCCCTGGCAAGGGGGACATGAGCAGTGGGAGACCCAACACAGGAAGAGAGAGAGACCCCGTCTTTTTAGGAGACCTAGGCATTTCTTTCTTTCTTTCTTTCTTTTTGAGTCGGAGTCCCACTCTGTCACCCAGGTTGGAGGCCGTGGCACGCTCTTGGCCACCGCAGCCTCGACCCGCCTGGGCTCGGGTGATCCTTCCACTTCAGCCTTTAGTAGCAGGAACTAAAGGCACGTGTCACCACACTCGGCTAATTTTTTGATTTACTGTAGAGATGAGGTCTTGCCGGGTTGCCCAGGCGGGTCTCGAACTCATGGGGGCTCAGGCAATCCTCTCACCTCTGCCTCACAAAGTGCTGGAATTACATCGTAAGCTACCGCGCCTGGCCGGGCGTTTCTCATCCAAGGGGCCAACACGTGAAAGGGGACCAGGAAGGACCAACAAGACTCCGAGGTATCATTACACCCGAGGGGCTGACTCCCAGACAACACAGGACCCTGGAATTGGGACACTGAGGGCTTCAGACTCAGGATCTTTCTGCCTCTCAACGACCTTCAGGGCCTCAGTCAAGTTTGTGTTTAAAAAAAAGAGTTCTCGTTTTAGGAGAAGGAAAAAAAAGAAGTAAAAAATTCAACAATGTTTAAAACGGGGAGGAAGGTGGATAAGAGACCAGACCTGAGACTCCCACTGTGTCTCCCCCCACAGGGAGGTCCCTGTTTCTGGAAGCCCCATGGGAATTGCATGTGTGTTATAGAAATGGCTTGGTGACAGCAGAGGAAGGTTTTCTCATGGGAGTCCAAGAGTTTGAGAAACTCCCAACACCCAAGGAAGCTGCCCTGGCCGCCAGCTTCATAGGCCTGTCCCACCCCCTCCCTCCTGGCCAGTCCATGGCGTGAGAAGACCGAGAACGCGAGAAGACCCGAGAACGCGAGCGCGGCAGCCTACCTCTGGCGCCGTCGTCCTCCTCCACCCTGTCGCCGCTGTCCGCCTCCTCTCTGATGATCAGCCGGCCGTCAGAGCTCATCTTGAAGCCATGGTCCTTCTTCCTGCCCCGGCCCGGCCTGGGCTGCGTGGCTGGTGTGACAGTTTGGTGTGAGGGATGGAAGGCTGGCCCCAACCCGTCTATGCCCTGGTCACGGCCGCAGGCTGGCTCTGTGCCCTGGGTCCCTCTCGGCCTTGCCACCGAAGCATCCCTGCCAGCCCCAGCAGGTCTTTTTTGAGCCCAGGGCTGGCCCGAGCATACCCAAGACTCGCTGGGCCACCTTGGGGTCCAGGAAGTTGAGGGGCTCGTCCGCCCCGCCCTCCTTCAGCCACGCGTGGCTCCTCTGCCGAGCCAGCTTCCTCTGGTCTCTGCCACGGCCCCTCTCCGCCTCCTCACTGTCCTCCTCGTCCTCCGAGTCAGCCAGGATTTCCTCGATGCTAAAGACAGAGAAGCCCCGTCAGAGGGCTCCGGGAGCGGGGCCGGCGGGGCCCTGCCTGGGCAGGCTCTGGGCTTCCCGTGGCCTCACCTGTCGCCTTTGCCCGGGGCAGGCTCCTCCTCCTCTTCCTCCTCCTCGAATCCCTCGTCCTCAGCTGCCTGGCTCAGGGCGCGGTGCCTCTTGGCCCGGGCCTCGGCCTTCCGGATGTTGACCAGGACTCTGTGGTACTCCTGGGGCAGCAGTCTCTTCACCAGCTCAAACCTGGGCGGCAGAAGGGCGTTGAGAGGCCGGCCAGGGAGCTCTGCAGGCGGGAGGGCCTCGGGGACTGAGACCCTTCGTGCTGCGCCTCCCACCCCATCCCTGCTGAGCGCACAGACCCGAACTTGCGGATGAACTTGGCGAAGAGGTTGCGGAGCTTCATGCGGAAGTGCCGCCGCATGTCGTCCGACAGCTTCCCGATGGCTTCCATCTGCCGGCAGAGCACCAGCGCCTCAGAGAGGAAGGCCCCTGGCTGCATCCTCCCCAGGGACACAGGCCTGTGGGACCCAGGAGGCGGCAGGGGAGAGGCAGCCCTGCTCCTGACTCACGCTTCCCTCCCCTAAACCCTACCTCGGGACGCAATGCCTGGGCATCCTACAGGAGGGCAGACACGTTTCCTAAGCAGACAGCCTCTCCCTGAGTCAGTCCCAGACAGATGCTCGTGCCCAGTGACAGAAGAGGAAACCGAGGCACAGCGGGTTAAGTGGTTGCTAAGTGGTCACGGGGCTAGGAGACCCGCCAGGGGCTCTCATGCTGGCCCCACTTGCTGCCAACACCCAGGCCTCTCGGTCCCACACACACTCCGGCTCCCTGCACGGACCCGGCTGGGCTCCTCTCAAGCCGACATCTGGCCTATGTGTGAGGGTGTCAGGTTCAGGATGTGAAGCATCTTCCAGTGGGACTGGGGAACTGGGTCCCACCCACTCACGAAGGGCTCCATACATTCTAATCCCCATGAGGGATCCCTGCTCCCACTGTACTCCTGGCTCTGGAGGGCGGGGCAGGACATGCTGATTCTCACCCACCCTTCCTGTTTTCGAACCCAAGGCCAGACCCAAAGGAGAGACACAAGAGGGACCTGCAGGTCTGATGTGACTCAACCTAGGGAAGTGGGAAACTGAGGCAGTGGGTACAGTGCACAGAGGCGCTAGATGGCAGTCCCAGCCACGGCAAGCCTGGGCTAGGCTCCCTTAAACCAGCAGGGGTCAGGGACTCAAGACCAAGGGGCTCAGACCCTGCGGCAGCCCAGGCAGGGGTGTCCAGAGGAACCTCCCCAGGCCAGGAAGGTCAAAGTACAAGACCAAGAGAAGGCAAGGCGGGGCGCCACGCAGGGAGAGCTGGGGCCCTGGGTCCAAGGCTGTTGCCGACTATCACCGTGCCCCCAGAAGTCCCCAACCTCAGTTTCCCCATCTGTAAAACGTGGGGGGCCCTTCCCACTGGCCTCTGCCCCGAGAGCCTTGTTTCTGGGAAGGCTCTGGAGTGGTAAGAGGTGGCCTGGGCACCGTGCCCCCTCCCCACCCCCCCAGGCTGGTACCCTCTACATGTCTTTCTGGGACTCCTCAATCACCTTCTGGCTAATAACAGAGTTGGAACCTCGCTAGCCTTGAGGCACACTGGGCCCATGCTGGCAACTTGGAGGCCATCGTGCGCCCACCGAGGGAGAGGGGACACTCACCACCAGCTGCAAGTGCTTGGCCAGGTGCGCCACGTCCATGACAACCACTGCCACCTTGATAAAGCCCAGCGCGGACTTGACCACGTCGCGGGTGCGGGAGGCCAGGAGCAGGCACACGTTCTCCAGCAGCTGCTCCACCGTGCTGGTCCCCATCAGACCTGCAGTGGCGAGAGGGCCGCTGTCCCAGGCACCTGCACCCCACTCTCCCCCAGGCCAGTCGCCCAGCAGGGGGGAACATCAGGAGTCGACACTGGGAGCCCTTTCTGTGCCGGGCGGCACTGACCATTCTCCATGTCTTGGTCTTGGTCCCTCAGCTGTCGGAGGGAGGTGCTTTTTCTTTTTGAATTGGAGTTTCACTCTGTCGCCCAGACTAGAGTGCAGTGACCACTCCTGGCCACCGCAGCCTCGACCTGCTGGGCTCCGGCGATCCTTCCGCCTCAGCCTCCCGAGTAGCCTGGAACTACAGGTGCGCCTACCACACCCGGCTAATTTTTTGATTTATTATAGAGATGAGGTCTCACCAAGTTGCCCAGGCGGGTCTCGAACCCGCGGGCTCAGGCAATCCACTCACCTCAGCCTCCCAAGGTACGGGATTACAGGCTGAGCCACCGAGCCCAGCTGGGAGGTGATATTTCTCAGCTCCATTTCAAAGACAAGAACCTGAGGTTCCAAAGGGTTGACAAAGCTGCCCGAGGTCTCGTGTGGCTGCCAAGAGGCAGGGCTAGGACTAAAATCTGGGCACCAGCCCTAACCTCCTCCTGCACAGGAAGTGGGACACAGGGCAGTTGTGGTGTGGGACAGGTGTGAGGAGGCACCTCGGCATAGCTGTGGAGAGGACGCTGGGAGGCGCAGCCGTGAGGAGAGGAGGCTGGGAGGCCGGCCGGGCTGCGTGCGGGGCTCTTCCCCACGCCCCGATCTCTCCCAGACCTGGCAGCTACCTTGTCCTGAAGTTGTGGGCATTTTCCTGCCCGAGGGCTTCCCAAGCCTTCTAGGAAACGAGCACTTACCTTTAAACTCGAAAAGGAGGTGGGTCAGAGCCAGGATGCTACAACTGATCATGGTCACTCCGCCCACCAGGCCAGGGTAGATCAGGACGAGGTAGCGCTGCAGGGCCTCTGAGGGCAGAGACAGGGCAGGTCACACACGGCAGGGCCAGCCAGGGCGGGGCCTGCGGGTCCAAGGGTAGCAGCCTGCCCAGGGCCAGCCAGGGAGTTCTCTCCACCTTCTTCTTCCGGGGGGCTTCCTCCCAGCCAGTGAGCTGTGTCCACCCCAGCGGCCATCACCCAGGCCTCACCTTCCTGGTTCGGGCCAAACTGCAGGAAAGCGAGGCCCATCTCCACGAGCAGGGCGAACGCGTTCTTCCGGGCGCCCACTGACACCTCCTTGGTGCACAGGATCACCTGCGAGTCGCCTGTCAGCACGTGCTCCTGAGCCGCCCCTGGCGGAGGGGGCGGGAGGCACCCACGCGCCCAGGAAGCACACCGAATCCACCCCCGCCCCGCGACCACCTCCCTGGACCTGCGCAGGACACCCCGCGCCTCACCTCCGGGACAAGGGCAGCGATGAAGTCCTCGTGCTCGGCCGAGAGCTTCCTCACGATATGCATGAGGCACTTCAAGCGGGGCTGCGGGCGGGGCTCGCGGTCAGGACCCCAGAGCCGCCCCCACGCCGGGAACCCAGACGGCTCCTCTCTGGTGTCCCCCGGCCTCCCCGGACAGCCCTGAGCCCTCACCCTCTTGGCAGGCGAGGCCGTGCTCCGCAGCGAGTCCAGCAGGGTCATCTTCAGGTCGTCCAGGTGGCTCTGCACGAAGTGGGCCCCTGGGCCCAGGGGGCTGGCACACACCTCCTCCAGCACCCGGTAGGCCTTCTTCTGCACCCCGTGGGCTGTGCTCTGGCAGGTGCAAGGCGGACAGGACGGGTGAGGAGGGGCCAGGGCTTCACCCCTACCGGGATGGCCCATGAGCCTCCACCACGCGTTGCGGCTGGCACAGAGGGGTCAGAGCAGGAGCTGGCCCTGCCCGCCTGGCTTGCGGTCCGACACAAGGACCACAGAGAGCGGGCGGTGAGGGGCCAGTCTTGCCAGGCCCAGGTGGGGTGTGCTGTGGGTGTGATGCAGCCAGCCCTGCCCTCCAGTCTGTACCCCCAGGTCATGCCCCCACCGGTATCCCTGCTACTCTTCCTGGCAGGCACTCCTCCCCCACACTTGCCCAACTCCTTGCCGCTCCAAAGCAGCTCTGTCGCCGCCTGGGACACCCTTCCTGGGATGGGGCGGCCCTGCCCCAGAGCACTCCCTGTGCTGCTCGACGCCGCAGTTAAACTGTGGCAGTGGGATGGCTTTCTGGGGCCACTGCAGAGCAGAGCCCTGCGTGTCACTAGCCACCGAGACGAGCGTTTCACACAGATCCAACATGTGCAAAGGCGCAGACGGGCCCGTGACACCGAGGCCAAGGTCCCTGCCTGGTTCCCTCACCAGGCCCATCCCAGGATGGTCTGACTTTCATCCCGCCCCCGCCTCCAGCCTCCTCTGGCCACTCTCGGTCTCCCGAGAGACCCTCTGCAGGTGAGGCCTAAGCACAGCTGTGCATCTCAGCCCCTTGGGCACTACGACAGGTGGGCCTGATGGGTACTGGGGAAAGCCACTGCAGGAGAAAGCCAAGGGACCTGGCCTGGGGCGGCTGAGGGACGTGGAAGGGAAGACAGGCCCACCTTTCCTTGAACCCCTATCCCCGCCTCTGCCAGGCAAGGCCGTGCAGCCCCTGGCCTCCAAGGCTCACCTCCAGGTAGGGCCGGATGGTGGCGTACAGCTTGCTGATGGCGGCTTCGTCGGCGTGAGGAGCCAGGGCCACGACCAGGTCCAGGACAGACAGTCTGCTCAGGGCAGAGACAAAGAGGGGCTGGGGGCGCTGGAGGGGGCTCTGGTAGTCACCAGGGTTCTTCTGTCTCCTGGATACTGGAGGTGGGAGAAGTCGCCTTGAAGGGGACTGTGTGTGACACTCACTGCCAGCCCCTGGCTGAGCACTCACGACACACTGGGCACAACTCCTGCCAACAACTCAAACTCACGGCAACCCTGCTGCCAGTACCATCACCATGCCCATTTGACAGGGTCACAGAGTAGGCAAGTCACTTGACCAAGGTCACCCAGCCTAGAGGTGATAGAGCTGGATTTGAACCCGGGTAGTGTGTCTCCTGGATCCTCCAGGGAGAAGGAACTAGTTTGGCCTCTTGGGAGAGTCGGGCCATCCAATACCTCCAGACGTCCCCAAGGCTTCCGGAGTGAAGCCACAGGGCCCCTGCTAGACACACCCTCCAGCTCCCCGGGCTGCCCCAGCTCACGTGGGGACGCCTGAGCATTTACCTGGTGAAGTCAGAGCTGGCAGGGTCCAGCACCTTCTCACTGGCTTTTTCCAGGAAACCATTCACCAGCTGGCAGCATCAGGGGGTGACAAGGGCGTCAGTGAGGAGAGAAACAAGGAGCAGCCACAGCAGGCCCCAGAGTGGCCACCCTTCTGTGAGAGGCGTCCAGCACAGTCCAGGCCGCACCTCTGGTGTGTGGGCCCAGCGCTCCAGGTGGCAGACACCCAAGGGAGTCCTGGTGGTAGACGGTCTCGGCCGCTCCAGCAACCTGCCTGCCGGAGAGCACCCCATCCATCCCCGCCCTTCAGTTCACCTGAGTCTCCGTTATGGTGAGGTAAGTTCTGATGGTTTCCAGCACAGCTCGGCGGGGAGCGGGAGTGTCCCCGGCGGCCACGGGTTGCCCGTACAGGTTGAAGAGGATCGGCAGAAAGTTCTTGGCAAAGCGGCTCACTTCGGCACGGTCGGCCTCTGGCAGGAGGACCAAAGTTTGCATTAAAAGGACAGGAGTTGCCAGGCACCATGCCTCACGCCTGCAATCCTAGCACTTTGGGAGGCTGAGGCGAGAGGATTGCCTGAACCCAGCAGGCTGAGGTTGCAGTGGCCGTGAACGTGCCATCGCACTCCTCAGACTCTAAACAAAAGGACAGGCGTTGACCAGCCTCAAGGGCTACTGGGGCTGCAGTCCTGAGGCCTTCTTCAGGGTACCCTGGGGTAGGACGGGAAATCCATGGGTTTAGGGGTTTGCTGTGGCAGACGCTGAGGCCAAGGCACAGAGAACCAGGTGCCATGGCTCCTATCTCAGGGACCAGCAGCGCATCAGCCAGCACAGCCCCCAACACTGACAGAACACACCTGCAGCTCTGGTCAGTCACAGGAAGTCAGGGAAGGGCAAGGGGGCAGCTGCCGCCTCCGACTCGCTCCTCGGGCGGCGAGTTGGGGAAGCAGCGAGGAGGCACACAGAAGCCAGTTCCTACGGCTATGCCTGGCAGGAAGCACAGCAGGCCGGCGCCTGGGCCAACCCCATGCCCCGGGGCCCACACGTACCCGCCTCACAGCCCTTGGTGATGAGGGTGCGCAGGGCTTGGCACACAGTGACCCTCAGGTCCGGGCGCTCGCTGATGGCTGTGCCCAGCGTCCGCGCCAGCCCTCTGAAGGAGGTAGCCACATCCGTGGGCCTCGTGCAGAAGCCAGGCAGGAGGGTCCAGATCTGGGGGAGGAGGAACGCGGGAGAGTGACACTGGCACCCAGGCCCTCGCACTGTGCTACCCACATCCCCCCACGTCGGTCCGCACCTGCCACTGGAGTGTGTCGTAGATCTTGGATTCCACTGTGCTACCTTCCTGGGCCAGGGCCATTGCTGGAGTGTGAGACAAGAACACAGTGTGACCCTGGGTGCCCTCCTGGACAACCCACCTCATTTTACCCAAACCAAAGCAAAAACCCAAAGATGAGGACGGAGCACAGGAGATGACCTCCGCCCCACAAATTATATCATAAGAGTTGTTCGTTCTAAAACTAAAACAGTTCTTTTTTTTTTGAGTTGGAGTCTCACTCTGTCGCCCAGACGGAGTGCAGTGGCTGCTCCCAGCCACCGCAGCCTCAACCTG